GTCTCTGCGGGGCCGGGGTCCGCCGTTCCCCCTTGCAGTCCAATTCCCAGGGTACAGTCCAGTTCCCACTGGGACTGTCTCTTCACCCAGCGCATCACCGAGGTCTCATTTTCAGCTTCCTTCAGATAAGGGAGGTTTTCCCCAAGCAAATTTTTCACATCCGTGACACTGAGTTTCTGCAATACACGTACAACATCACCTTTGTTCATCCTCGCAGCCGGCATCGCCACGAAGTGCTTTTCTAACGGGACTGCAGAGCAAGTAATGACTTCCAAAAGAAAATTTAAAAAGGTAAAAATGTAGAGACTCGGTGATCTGATGGGGCTGCGACCTCGAACCCCACCGCTGAGCCCTCGACTAGCCCTGCCCTTCAGCGGGGAAAATTGCAGCAGCGTACCGGGGACGTACCTGCAGTTCATCAGGATTTAGGGCAAGAAAGGTGTCCATGTCCATGTCTATGGCAACCCCAGTTTTAGCCAAGTCCTTCAGGTCCTTCGCTGGAGCTCCACCTTAAAGAAAGCGTATGGGGCACCTGGACATGCGCAAACGCTTCCAGTGCTGGGAGGGGGGTTTTGGAGACTGCTAGAGTGATAAACCCCCCTGGCCGAGGAAGAGCTATGCGACCTCAGTCGCCGTGGGAAGGAGGGCGAAGGCTGAAACACCTACCCAGGTACGGCCAAATCCTGCAGTAATACGCCTCGGTGGTGCCAGCCTGGCCAGCAAAGGCCTCCTGGGCTTTTCTGTAGAGTTGGTCCTTCTTGGTTTGAGAGCAAGAAGAAATGTTTAATTGTCCAGCAGTCCTGGGGAGAGGGAGGGTCACAGGTTAGAGCCAGGGGCACCACCCAAAACCACAGCTACAGCCCTTTTGTTGGCCAGGGGAGAGGGCGGTCTGTCCCTGCCCGCGGTGCCGGTGGCTCAGGCGGGAGCTGGGAGCGGGACGCGGCATCCCTCCACGCTGCCTGCGAGGGGGCAGAGCTGGAACGGAGGTGGGAGTCTGCCATCCCACCATCCGCTTCCCCCGTGGTCCCAGGGGCCTCGCAGGACTGAAAAGCATCCCTAAAAAGCGGCTTACCTGATTGCCTCTGGAGATATTTGATTGATCTGCTCCTCCTGCAGATTACACAGGTTTTTCCCACCGACTTTCTGAAGCAAGGGCCCGGTCAAGGTGCCCCCCAGGGCCAGGTACCTGCTGAGCAGCTGCCGGACCTGGGAGAAACAGTTCACGTGGTTGCACGCAGGCAGGGAAGGAAGATGCTCCCGGTAGAAATGTGTGTGCTGCAAAACCACCGTGCCGCCCTTGGGCAATTGCCTTTGCCCCGAGCTGGGCTTGGGCACCGCGCGATCCCGGTTTGGGTTCACCAGCGCCAGTGCCCCGCTGCTGCCGTGGGTTTACCTGGGGAGCCTCCCACTTGCCATCCGAGGGGTCGAGCAGGGCGGAGAGCGTGTCGCTGGATGTCACCAGCCACAGGCTGATCTCCTCCGCTGTG